TTTCACTAAAAATTTTTGTTTAAATTCGAATTATGTCTAATGAAAATAAATAAATCAAATAAATTAGGTAATTCATTTTTTTTCTAAAAAAGCTAAAATTTACTTAGTTTTGTTGGAATTCTTAAAAAGTATAATAATTTCCATATTGTGACGCCCATTTGTTGTAAACGGTATTAAATTTAGAAAATCCCGCGGGATACTGACAAAAGTTTGTTTGTTGTTATTTGATTTGAGCCTGTTTGTTGTCATTTGATCAATATAAACATAATAATGGAGATCAGATCAGATGGAAATTGAACACACAAAAAGAATCGTAAACGCCGCAGCGTTTTTTTAAAACCCGAGTTCTTATAACACTATTTAAATTTTTTCTAATTTCTTATTTTCTAAAATTATTTACTTGGATGGCCTCCTCAGAGGTTAGATCACATAAATTACCCCCTTTTAGTTTCTAATATTCTTCATTCAAAAATTAATTTATAAAAAATAGGGGTTATTGAGGATCGAATAAATTGCTTAAATTGATATTTTCTTTTTCATTATAATAATTCTCTTATTTTTTTATGATTTTCCTTTTACAAATAAAATTTAATATAATTGGCCTCCGCAGAGGATAGATCACTTTAAAAATTAACCCCCTTATATTTTCTATAATATTCATTCAAAAATTAATTTATTTATTTCATAAATGGGGTAACTAAAGATAAAAATAATTTTTAATATAAATGGCCTCCGCAGAGGATAGATCACTTTAAAAATTAACCCCCTTATATTTTCTATAATATTCATTCAAAAATTAATTTATTTATTTCATAAATGGGGTAACTAAAGATAAAAATAATTTTTAATATAAATGGCCTCCGCAGAGGATAGATCACTTTAAAATTAACCCCCTTATATTTTCTAAAATCTTCATTCAACTATTAATTTATTATCAAAATGGGGGTCCTAGGATTTTGAGCGCATAAATAAAATATTCATTCATAAAATAATCTGATAATAAAATTGGACCGCGGATTTTGAGGCCAAAAATAAATTTAAATTCCATCTTTTTTAAAAATTCCCCAACCTATTCCCAACTCTAAATTTTTCGGCAAAAGGTGAGGAACCATCCGGTGCTACCAGTAAAGCGGTTGGTCCCGTACCCCAGTGCCTCGTTAGTTAGTTGATGTTATAAGCAAAGTCGCGCATGCTGCAGACATGTGTGAACTCCGCAGAGTATAGAAATAGGTGAATCGCACGCAGTGGGGGAATATAGGGAGAGCGCTCTTCCCTACAAGGATGGATTGGCCGGCCGGCAACTCTGTTGAATGAATGAAGAAGTGATCTGCCTTTGCCTATTCCATTAGAGCTTATATGCACCAGCTTACTTCCCTATTGCTTTCCCAAGGATAAGTTAATGGCGATAATAAGCTTAGATAATGGGCGGATAATAACTCTCTGGGAATGGCCGTTTGTGGCGTTCTTTGCCTTTTCTCTGGGAACTTCCGTAACTTAGCACAATGTTTATAGCGACATTATTGTTCACGTGATTTCAGGATGAACCCAGCCTTACAATATTGAAAAAGTCATTGTCATTTTTAATTATGGGAACAGTTTATTCATCAATATCAGAAAATAAATCGATCCCCTCCTCGATTTATTGAGATATACCCAAAATTTAGCACCTCCTCTCGAATAATTACCCCTCCAACGAGAGGTCGGAACAGGGTAATTATTCGAGCACATTCGGTATATGTACCTGAATTTTTAAATTCTAGGTAAATAAATTTTAAAATTGTTTCTTTTTTAATAAATAAAATAATATTTGAAATTATGTTTAAATTATAAAAAATATTAAATTATTATTAGATTAATAATAATATTAAATTATTATTTAAATTTAATTAATTTAATTAAATTATGATTAATTAATTATGAGAAATTAATAAAATTATGATTGATTTTTGAGGAACTATGGTGATGGATTAAAATAAAAATTTAGGTTTAATTTTGAGGGGTTTGAATTCTAGTTTTAAAAAATACCTGATTTTTTGGCACAGAAATATATTTCTGTAAAACCAAATTGCTAGGTAATTCAATAATAAATTCAGCTTCAGAATACTTTTTAGTATTTTCCCCAATTTCCGCTTCATTAATTGAAATAAGTTTATTTGGAATATTATAAAAAATAAAATTATTATTTTCATTTTTTAAATGTCCTCCAACAATAATTTCTTTATTTTCAAAAATATATTTAAAAGAACAAATTAAATTTTGTTTATTTTTTAATTTTGTCAAATAATTAAATTGACGAGTTTGTAGGTAATCCTCATTAATTATTAATTCAATATCCATTGACCAACAAAAAGTAATTGTTAATAAAAATGGATATAGAATTAACATCTTAAATAAAAAATATTGGGTGAATAAAAATTTTAGAAAACAGGATAGATACTTTTCGCGCCATTTCAAATCCCATCTCTATTTTGGACAACTTACCGTATTTATTCTAATATAAAAACAGTCTCTATCAGGGATCGCGCCGACCCAATTCACGATTCCCGAAAATCGAGAATTTGATTTTTTGGGTAAATGTCCAGCCTTTGCGGACTGCATTTGGAAGGTAGAAAGCGAGCTGGACATTTAACGATTTTCTATCGGCGCGTTCCCTGAAACTTATTCAACTATTTACGTTTTAATTAAGTTTTCCTTGGAGCTTCAAGTCGAGAAAAAAAAATTACTATGTTAAAATTTTATTCCGATTCCAGCCAACTTTTCGTTTTAATACTGTTAAACCAGGGTTCCGATTCGTACTTTTTTAAAAGTATTGTAATTTTAAATCGACCTCCGTGCTTAGTTACGAAATTGAACTTGCACTTTTTTAAGTGCAAATTAAAAAAAGTTGTATCGGATCGTCAGTGCAACTATTTCGGTCACATTTCCTATTTCCTTTATTAAATTTATTTTTTAAAGATTCCAGTTTCAAATGCATTTATAGAACGCATCTTCTCAATGGCAAGTATTAATGGACGAAAGAAAGAAACTTGCTTGAGGTTAAGACTGTCAGCCTATTTACTTTTAAATCGAGATTTTCGTATTTTTGAATTGCCATTTTGTCGATCGGAACCCTGTGTTAAACAAATAGCCTGACCATCCAGATAGCCCAACCTGAAAAATCATTTTTTCAACAACAAAATTTCCTTGTGGAAAGTTTATGGGAAGCAGCGGAACTGGGAGGAGGAAAAAGGATGGGAATGATAAAATTCTGGAGAGTCAAGAGAATTTTAAACGTCATAGGTGTAAAAATATTTTGCTGATAAATTGCCAAGTAATTCTTGCGTTCGTACCCCCTTTTTTTCCTTAAAGTATTAAAAAATGGTCAGTCAGTCTTAGGTTATAAAACTCGTCGAGCTGTGTCGAATGACACCGAAATCAACCCCCGTTCTTAACTTCAGGCCGAGATACAGACCTCCGAAAATTGTAAAACAAAAGGGGGACCAAGTTCATTTTTTGGGCTAAAAATTCGATTAAAAAATAATAGCTCATCGAAAGAACTTCACGAGTTGGTTTGAATGACATCAAAATCAACGTAATTGAACAGGATTTGACAAAGTTATGACATAAAGTAATCATATTGTAGTCGATGAGTCGCTTTATGTAAAAAAACCTGCGCTTTGTGCAGGTTTTTTGTCTGTAACTCGGCCCAAAGTTATGACGGGGGTTGATTTCGGTGTCATTCGACACAGCTCGACGAGTTCTATTATCTAAGACTGACTGACCATTTTTTATTCTTTTAGGAAGGAAAAAAAGGGGGAAAGGGGTACGAACGCAAGAATTACCAATCGCCCTACGGGGACGGGCAACAACGAAAAACTGAAAAAGTTAGCTTTCAAAACAAAAAAAATATTAGAGAATTTATTCAAAATTTAATATTTATTTATTTAAAAACAAGAATAAATAAGTATGTATATAAATTTATTTTCTCCATCCTCGAGAATAAATCGAATTTTGCCCTTTATTTTAAATATTTTATAATAAACAAGCAATCACTAGACTTTAAATCAATTTATTATTTAATTTCCCTTTGATCCTTTGATCTTATGAGAGAGAGTGTGAGTGTGAGAGAGAGAGAGAGAGAGAATGTGAGTGTGAGAGAGAGAAAGGTCTACGACATTCGAAAATATGACAATTGTAAACAGAATTTGAGGGTTTAATTTAATTAATTAATAAAATAGTTTTTTCTACTTGGCCAATGTAGTTGACTCATCTTCTTGTAAAGCTAAATCAGATAGTATTAGTGGTTGTGTTTAGGCCAAATATGGGCCTGTCCACTTAGTAGACCAATCCAAAAGACTACTTATCTGCTTAATCAGCACTTGAATTTACATTGATATTTAAATACTTTTAAATTAATTGCCCTCCAGTTTTTCTAAAATTTGAGAGCAGACAATCATCAACTAACTCAATAAATGTTCTCAATACAGCATCCTATTATTATCTCTCTAGTGCAAAACGGTCCTGTTGTTGAATAGGTTGTCACCGCTTTTCGATCGGGCGACCGTAGCGAAGCGGCGGCCGTCGTTCCTCTCGACATACCCGGCTTCCTCCGCAGCGGCAAAAACTTTTTTCTGCGAAGGGAATCTCACTCGAAAGAGCTCGGTTAGCAGAGTCGACTGACATCAAAATCAGCTCGATCGGATGATTATGAATAAAGTTATAGTTGCTCACGCTGAAAACATGATGCGCCGAAAAAATGGCGCCCAAACGTGGTGCTCCGTGTGCTACCATCTTTTCAGCACTCTACTGGCTGCTCTAAGAGCCCAAACTGTGTACAAACGGCGCAACGCCTTAACTTGCTTCACGATTTCGGAATCTTACCGAAATTAAAGGATTCCCCTCATCAAGCTAAAGAGATTGGTAACAAAATTGATAAGGAAAATTTGATAATTTCCAGCTAAATTTTCCACCTTTTGCCCAAACTTTGCTAATATTTTCTTCCGAATTTATTTAAAGATTAATTTCAGACACCTTCGTTTTAAATTATTTTTTACCAGAAATGAGTCTTTCAATTCTTCCTAACATTTCTTCAGATCCTTTAAACTTGCTCAACGTTGATCAAAAAACTAATTTACTTTCAGAGCCAGGTTTTTATTTAAATAATAAATCGTTTTTGTTCATTCAACCTTTTTCGATAACGGATACCAGATTTTTTTTTAATTTTGCATCCCTCTCCCACTTTCTTCCTTTAAAATGCCCTTTTTAAGTCAGATTTTCGTCCTCCCTCAAGTTCACTTTTTCTCTCCAGTATTTATTGAGTCATAGGAATTAGTAATTTAATCTATAAAAAATAAGAGAAAAACTACAGTAATACCCCCTCCGTACCCCCCCCCCTTTTCCTTCCTCAAAGTATTAAAGAATGGTCAGTCAGACTTAGTTTAGAGAACTCGTCGAGCTGTGTCGAATGACACTAAAATCACCCCCTGGTCTTAACTTTGGGCCGGGGTAGTCCTCTCGACGATTTTACTAACCTAAGACTGACTGAACATTTTTTAATACTTTGAGGAAGGAAAAAGGAGGGAGGGGGGGGGGGGTACGAATGCAAAAATTATAAAATTTAAGTTCGTGTTGCCGAATTTTCTTTGGATAACAATCGTCGTCCTGTACTCGGCCGTTCTAAAGCTCGTTATTTTTATGAAGCCGTTGTAGCCAAGGGGAGAAAAATGCCAATTAAAGCAAAATTGTCTGATGGTTACAACCAAGATATAATTAAAGAAAGGGAGGATGACGGACTTATTTTTTTGACTCGTTGGATTTCTTCTTTGGCGCCTCCAAAAAGTGTTTTAAAAGAGATAATTCATGACTGCGATTTTGTTATTTGCCGTGGAACTCTTTTACGTTTGATGACTTCCTGTTATGATTCAATTCCCCATTCTGTGGGTATGAAACTTGTTTGCTGCAAAATGAAAGGTTTTTTGTTTTTAATTTTAAATGTCTCCTTTGTCTTAGGGAACTAAAAATTGCCTTTTTTTTAGAATTTTGGGAAAATTAATAATTGATAGAGGGTTAGGGTTGCCGTTTTCAATTCGGGCCGTCGTTCGAGTCTTTTTTTCGGGCCAGACCTGTCAAGTCTTTTTCGGTCCAAAAATCGAAGCCCGATTCGATCTTCGGACCGGACAGGAAACCCCATATAGAGGGTAGAAGCAATTTATTCAAATCTTTCCTCGGTCTATTTCTAAATTTTTTGTTTTTTAAAGGGTTGGGGTTTAGGTTGACGTCGTTCGAAGCGGGCCGTCGTTCGAGTCATTTTTTCGAGCCGTACCGGTCGTCTTTTTCGGGCCAAAATTTAGGACAGATCGATCTTTCGAAAAATAATTTATTCAAATTTTTTCTTAAAGTCTAGGGGGTGGGGGTAATCGAAAATAGAGCAATTAAAAGTTTTTTGATTTCCTTTTTCCCTTAATTATAAATTTAGGTGTTTATTTCATTCGTGAATACTACACTCCAACTAGAATTGAAAAAGAAGTAAATATGATTGATAGACATAATCGAATGTGTTATGAAGCGCACAAATTTAAACAACTAGTTACAACAAAAGGACAGGGAAAAAGGCCCGATTTTAAGGAGACTGTTTGTGTTAAACCCGATTTTATTGGAGTTTTTAAAGGTTTGGAAATTTTATTCTTGTTGGGGTTTCCTTTCTATTTTCGTATTTTTAGGTAAATATTTGAAAAATCCAGGATCTTGGACAAGTAAATTTTATTATGTCGAGTCACACCCCCCTAGAAAGTAACACAGGGGGTTGTTAGATAACACAGGGGGTGTTTATTTTGTTTCACACCCCCCTAGAAGTAAATTTTATTATGTCGAGTCACATTCCCTTCCCTAGTAAACTACAAAAATTTGGGGTTTTACTGAAAACTTCTTTTGACCCTCCATTTTTTCTTCCTTTTTTCTCAGTCTGCTTCTGTACTGAAAGGTCAGATTTTCTTTCTTTCCCAAATTCGCTACATTTCCCATGAGATTTTTAGGATTGCCAATTTCGTCAATAAAAAAATAATCTGTTTCTCTCAAAAAAAATTTTTCTTTGTTAATGTTGCCAAATGTGGTGAATTTGAGAAAGAAAGAAAATCTGACAATTCTGTACATAAGTAGACTGAGAAAAAAGAATCGAAAAATGGAAGCCTGTAAAGGAAAGTACATACCCTTATTTATTCAGACTTGAGCTGATCTCTAATAGGTTTGCTCGATTTCTTTTTCAATATTTTGAAAACATTTTTGCCTTTTCTAAAAATTTTTTTCTGATATTAAAAAGCCTAAACCCATTTATTTTATTAAGCAAAATTTTTAAAAAACCCCTTTCTCATTTTATTTTTTCAACTAATTTCAGCTACAATTAATGCTCCATCTCAAAAGGATCCTTCCTCCAATTTTCGAATATTTTATGGAGCAGAAATTGATTGTATAGTTCCCTCGAGTGGACAATATTTGGGGCTCAAAACACAATATAAAATGCTTGGATTTGGGCAGGGATTTACTGATAAGGGTTTTTTGACCTTATCCCAAAAGAAGGGAGGAATCGTTTTTTCATTACCTGCAAGGAAAGGAAAAATGCCCTTTCCACCTTCGCCTTCATTGTACATATTTCTACACCGGATAAATTGTTATTCTAGTGCACGTTAACATCAACTAAATCTCGAACACCTCCGGTCGTAACAAATATATGTAACAAATATAAATGCAGACGGACGTACTTGGACAGACAAAACACGGACGGCTATCAATTTCTAAAAAAGATTTCCGTCCGTGTGTTATCTGTTCGAGTCCGTCTCCATTTTTCCTTTCCTTGCAGGTAATGAAAAAAAACGATTCCGCCCTTCTTTTGGGATAGGGTCTTTTTTTTAAATTTTTGGTAATCTTCAAAAAAAATTTCCGTTTAGTCTTAAGATGGTGGGTCCAAGCTTATTTGGCTGGAATTCGAAAATTGGCTATTGGAATTCATGAAAATGGTTTTTTTTGAAATTTTTTTAAATTTCAATTTAATTTTTAGGTCGATTAAATCAAGTTGAATACCTCGAAATGAGTTCTTTGGCTAATCATTTGTCCATGTCTGGTGTCAATGTGGCTTGCTGCTTTGTTTTTCTGTATAAATTTCTTGAGGCAGTCAAAAAGTATATTTTTTGTATTTTTTGGGGTAAATTCGATTTTTTTGGTTATTTCCCCAATTATTTTTATTTTTTTACCTGAGGAGTTTTTTTGTATTTAGTTTAAGCATTGGTTAGAATTTTAAATTCTCCTCATTTTCAATTTATTTTCTGTTAAGCCACTTTGTTTTTTGAAAAAAGGATAATCATAGGGGATAGCAAGGGCGTAGCCAAGAGGTCGATTTCAGGTGGATAAAATGGGGGTGTGCGCCAAAAATTTTTTTGTTTTACTTTGACGTTCCGAACGCGCATTTTATTGTCATATATTTTTATTTTTTCAGCGCCGCAGCGAAAATTTTGAGAATTTTGTGTGTTGTAGGCGTAAAAAATTCACTTTTCTGATCATTTCCCTCCTAACATTTTTTCACTTTCCCCATTTCATGAGTGGGGGTATAGCCCAGAAGCACCCCTGGCTACGTCCTTGGGGGATAGCTTTATGTTCTCTTACATTATTTTAAAAATTACTTTTGTTGTCAAAAAATGAATTTTTTTTCAGATATTTGGATATGGCACCTGAGGGAGTTATTCTCTTATCTGAACGTTTACCTACCTCAACTGAATTCAATTTTAAATTGTTTGATCCAGGCAGTGCAGAAGCGGCAATTTATGAGGTTATAAGTAATGAATTTAAGTCTCATGGTTGGCTTTAAGAATTTAAACAAAAAATTTAAATTGACAAAAACTATCAGCATTTTTCATTCATACCTGTTTAACATGGCCTTTTTGTGATATACCTAATTAAAAATTGGACATTAAATTAAAATGTTTTAATTTTTACGAATTTATTTATTTATATGTAGGGAACGGATTTATAAGGACTATCAACCGAAAAATATGGATCAATTTATGGCAAAATTTGACAAAAAATGTCAAAATATAGATTGATAACTCAAAAACGGCTTATCAACATATACTAAAACTATGTTTTTTGGACGTTTTAGAACCCAACTAGGCCAGGAAAAAAATATAGGAAATCCATAAAAATCCGTTCCCTATTTATAACGAGAGGAGCTTATTCAAACATTATTTGTCCAATTTTTAAATTCAACTGGGATTCTTGGCAACCGGTTAATTATTACCTGGGGAGGTTTAAACGCTCTTATTATTCCCCCTTTAAACCGCCATAGGCTGGAATTAACCGGTCGCCAAGAACCCGGACTTTAACATCTATTATACATTTTTTGCTCAATTATTACTTTTTTTTAAAGTACCGTGGCTTTTAATTAGTGACTTTTTTACTTAAATTATTTTCCTGATCATTTATCAATTTTATTTTTTTTCGGGTGAATAAATACATATAATCTCTTGTAATTTTTCAATGATAATTATTTTTTAAACATTTAAATAACTTTTTTACAAAAATATTTTTATTATCTGATCAACTACAATTTAATCCTTTTTCGTCCATTTGTCTAGAAAATTTCAGCATTTAATTTACTTATTATGATCACAAATGGAAGCATGGATGTTTTAAGTAATTTTATAAATGTTGACAATAATGGAAGTAGTGGATAGTTGAATTTTGAATTAGAAGATTTTGAACTTTAGAAGAAATTATTAATGAGGTTGTTTAATACATATTTTATTTTTTGATAAGTTATTTGGTTTTAAACTCGTCAAAATTCGAAATAAATTTTATACCTTAAAGAATTTATTTATAGTTTTTATAAATCTTGATCAAATTTTTTCACTTTTCTTTTTTTAGAAAATGCTTGGTCTCTATAGATGATTCTAGTATGCCAAAAATTCTTCCAATGGTGAGATATGGATCTGTGCATGCACAAGTACTAAAAATTATGAGATTTCTTCCTCTTGATTTTAAGAAGCGAAGGTTCTTTTGTTTTTGTTATAATAATTTTTATATGAATTTTTGTAATTTGAAATTCCAAAATAATTTTTTGAACGTACTAACTCTAAAATTCTTTCATTTTCTAGATTCAATTTTACAACAAATAAACATGTGAACTGATCGGCTTAAAACTTGCAAAATAAGAATGTGACGAAATATTTTTCAAATTAAAATAAAAATTTAGAAATGGGTTAGATTATTTTTTATTCATTTTGAAACGTTCTCATTGTTTCTATTGCTTATATTTTTGATTCTGGCAGAATTCGAAAAGGAATTAGTAAAAAAAAAGGAATTACTTTGAAATTGTTTTAAAAAATTAGCGAACCATTTACTGACCCTCCATCCGAATACCACCGCCAGATACTACACCCACCATGGCAAGCCGGTGATCATCTAGCATCCTCCTCGGTCACCAGGACATTGCCCATAGCGCTAGTTGCACTTGGTTTGGGAGGACCATATGGGAGTTGGCTCAATAGACAACTGAAGAAATCCTTTTTACCATATGTTGATCACTCATACCCAACGGGAAACGGCGGTCAATAGTTCGCTTTCGTTTTATCTTTCCTATCGCTTATATACAAACCTAGTTTATTTTATTTGCAGTTTTCTATGGGAAGTATATAAGTAGATATTACGTGAAAAGCAGAGAAGAATAAATGAGAGTTTATTTTGAAAGCTTTTTTCATTTTGTCTTTTATTCTTCTTTGCATTCCTTCTATTTAGTATTTTTTAATTTCCTTTTTTAAAAAGTCTAGTTTCAGCATCTATTTCAACTTTATATGTAAACCCTTTATTGGACATATCAGAAAGTGTCAAATTAGTTTACAATAGTCAGAAGACTTGCAAATGGATATAATATTAACAAAATTAGGATTTTTAAAGAACAACAATGTTCTCCATTAAAAAATTTTCAGGACATGGTAGCTGTGGCGAGTTCTATTTGTTATCATTCTTTCATTAGAAGCTATGGCGAAAGGAAGAAATCTCCGAGAAGTCTGACTTCTCTGGCCTAAAATTTGAAAATTTTCGCCTGAGGCGCTAGAAGGGCAAGCCATACTTTGAATTAAAGAGCGGCTTTTAAAAGTTGTTTCAAAGATACGTGTGATACGGAATTAAATAAATAAATATTAAATTAATTAATATTAAATTTTAATAAAATATTAAATTGATTTTTCTTATTTACAATTGTCGGTCAGTCTCTCGATCGATGCATAAATTGAGGAGATGAATAATTGAATTTAAATGTTAGCATTTGTCTAACGATGTGTTTACATAATAAGAGTCTTGCGTTTTGCGACAAAAATAGCACTGGGAATGAAGAGACGCGATTTTGTCTCTACTCCTTTTGAGTACTATTTCTTGCCGCAAAACGCAAGACGCTTTTTATGTAAACATAGCATAAATAAGGGAAATAGCTTTTCTCTCGGGTGCGATAACAGGCTAATGCCGTGCTTATATTAAAAGCGTCTTGCGTTTTACGGAAGAAGATAGCATTGAAAATAAAGAGACGCGATTTTGTCTCTCCTTCTTTCCAATATTTTCTTCCACAAAACGCAAGACGCTTTTTATGTAAGCTAGGCATTAGTAGCTACTATAGTTACTACTATAGTAGTAATGCTGTGGAGAGGTACGAAATTTGCATAGAGCTAAATCGAAATTTCGAGCTCATTTTAAAGCATATGTACATCAATGGAAAAATGCACTTAATTTTTTGGGTTGTTTATTTAAGCCAATTACTTTACCTAGTTTGTATTCATTTTTGTTTATTTACATCCATTTTTAATAAAAAATTTAAATATAGTCATGGACAAAAATATAGGAAGGAGCAAGAATAAGTTAAGTAAATATTACCTGTTTTTTCAGTTAGAAATAGGATGCCGTATTTGCTAAAATAATTATCCATGGTAATTATTTGAGCCTTTTTCAGAAAGGCTAATTATAACTATTTTAAGAGGGTAATTCTTTTTCGATATCTGGCTGTAGGGGGTAATTAATAGGGCGGGGGGTAATTATTTGAGAGAGGGACATTATTTCAGCATTTACGGTATCTTATAGGAATTAATTGGGATTTAAAGGGATATAGAAGCTATCACAAATGATATTCCTCTTAATCCCCAAATATCAGTGGATTTGACGGATAGAAGTGGGTTTGTGTTATATTATTAGATTTTGAACAGATATCGGAGGATTAAAGTGGATATCTGTCGATTTAAAGGGATTAAGGTGGATATCGGCAGTTTTGGAGGTTTCTTAGTTTTGAAAATTATTTTTTTTATAATTTTTAGTATTTTATTTCTTTTATTTCGCCACCGTACTCATTGGAGCTGAATCCGATGAGCTAACCCTTTTGGTAATTTTGAGGCAAGTGTCTATGTTTAGCAACCCAAAAGTGCGGGTCTGACTATGCGGTTCTGACTCGTTCGGGAATGGAAGAAAAGCTCACCAGAGTTGGTGCGAACAGCTGCCAAAAAATTTTTTCATGCGTCTTTTATTCTCTATCAAAGCATAGGGTGGGTACTTCAAAAAAATTCTTGATGATTCTTGTTCCTTTTAGTTCTCTCTCATATGAGCTTTATTTGATCTCATTATCTTTAGTTTAAATAAGGTTATGGCATAATAGTCAAAAA